TTCTATCAATCGAAAGGAGACTGCGACCACACCAGAGGCCACAACATCTTGGTCTTCATATATTTAATTGTTTTCTATTAATTTATCTACTATGGGTACCTCTAATATCTCTTAATGGAGACCTGGTTTTTTTTGTGAGTATTCTAGCCAAAACTACGCTGTAGATATGCTTTTTTATATACATTACTTGCGACCTTTATATTATTCTTCCTTTTTTTTAGATCTCCTATCTGAGTACTGTTATTGGCTCTCCGACACTGGCTATGTTGAGCGGGCTTTGGCAACTTGGCAGGCTTGTATTGAATTCAACTGTTTTGCCCCTCCTTTGCCGGATATGCCTCCGGGCACCAGTCCCGCTGATCTTCACCAACAGCAAATGGCCGACTTTGAGGCCTTCTGGACGCAATCTAGTGCAGGCCGATTTGGTCAGCCCGATTCAATTAGCTGGCGAGCCTGGCGGATAAGTCATCAATCTGACCATATGACTACACAGCAGGGAACTTGCGAAGGGGAGGGAAATCTAGAGGAGTTAGCACCTTTAAAATTTGGTTGGGCTCAACAAGCTCAGGATGTGAATCGGTGCCGAGTGTTATGGTCAAAGCTTACAAGTTCTGTCAAAGGTGAGTTGGTTACTCCTGTGGATATATTTCACCAAAAATCCCTTATGATGCTATTTTAATGGTTATTGGAACTGTTTATTACCCTATCCATAGGCTCAAAAAGAACTAAGTCCTCTTTCAATTAGGTATTTTTAAGTACATATTTTGGTTAAGTCGCCCCATTCTTTCCCTCAACCTTTAAGGACTTTTTGATTTCAGTTCCGTTACATGGAACATATAATCAGACCGAAAAATTCTTCTATACTTCATAATAATATGAGCCCCAAAATCTGAGTTCGCTAAACACATGGCTAATACAGCACACTCGATAGACTGATGCTTAACGGGACGTCTTACAGGCTAAGAAGATTTCACACGAAAGCATAAGATTATGAATTCACCACAAGTAAACAAAACAGCCTACATCCTGAATAGGAAGAACAAGTGTAGGAAATTAACTTGAAACTATTTATGACTGTTAGATAGGCCTGAATAGAGGGAGGGAGAGAGGCCAGGAAGAACCGCTGAGCAATAGGGAGCTGGAATAGCCATACCTATATATTAGTCAACATTAGCACATCGTAGGCTAATTTATCTAATTAAAGAACCAGTTGCCACTGGATCCACTTCCAATTCTTGAATTAACTTCACTCATCTGTAAGCACGTAACGTTTGAGGTAGCCAAGCCACAAAAGTTGAACT